GAAGCATGTAAAAAGCCCCCAAATTCACCCTCATGCTTCTAAATTGCTATAAATACTTACTTTAATGTTCCCAAATTTCTTATACCCCAAAAAATGTCCCCCAAAAATGCTAATAACTGGCCTTTAACCGCCTTTGGGGGCGCGCCTTCATTTCTTAACATCTTTCATGCGCTTGCGCGTTGCACCACGTCCATCTCGCGGTGTCGCCGCTCCAGATCACTCCGGGCGCTCTTTTCTTTTAAGTAACATTCCCCGTTTTCCCTCCTTTTTTAAAGAACCTTTTGCGTTTGATTCGCTTTTATCAAATGCCCGCAAAATATCAGTACTTTCTCTTAGGAAATGTAAGCAAATACAATAATCAGGGCTTGTTATAGTAAACACCCCCTTTGCCCTAAGCCAAACCATCATGGATCTAAATCTGGAATTCAAACGATCTATATATTGATGGCAAATTCAATATTTCAGGGACCTGGACCATAACCAGTGCCTCCGATTTAACTTAAGCCTTTTTTCCGAGCTTCCTTAATGTTCTTAAACCAAAGAACGAGAGCACATCAGGGCGCTTCTTTTTTTGGAAATCAAGTAATCATTTATACGAAAGTATAAATTTATCAACATGGGAAAGTTCATAAGCGCAGAAATATTAAGGTGGGACATTGAGATATTGGAAGTGAAGTATACCAAGTTACAGGGGGTGGTCTGGCACAATTCTACCCTTTTTGTTGCATTAACATGCGTGTATTAACCTAACTGAAAACAGAGGCCTTTGTGGTCACTTTATATATTTGTCTTCTTATCAGCCGTACGTCCAGTACTGTCAAACCGACATGGACTGCCGATTCAACACCTTCGGCCGGCGCTACTGTCTGGGTTGGGAATGCGAGCGATACTACCAGATGACTCCGTGCACCAAGGACTCGGACTGCCAGGGCCGGAGAGGAGGCAACAGGGTCTGCCGGAATATGTACTGCCGGAGCACTCGGACAAGTAAGTCAACCGTGGATTGCAGGTTAGGTAATTTTAAGCAAGAAATTGGTGTCATCGATGGCCGCTTTCCTTTGCTTCTTGTGTGTTCGTAAGACTTCCAGGGGCTATGACTTTAAAAAAAAATAATTTTAACCAATCTATAATCAAAGAAGAAAATAAAAACTTTTTTGTCTATACCTAAATAAAGACCCACAGAAACAACAAACTTCAACTTTGTGTTCCCAAAACAGTTTGGAAACAATTGACCGAAATGGTGACCAGTTTAGATGACATTGTTTTACATTCTGTTGACCCCCTCCTGATGCTCTCTCTCTCTCTGTACCATCGCCCCTCTAGCAGGAGTCGGATAGTGTTGAGGCTTTTAGGCCTATTGTCTTTATGGTGTGGGCTGTGGATCCTTCGGGATCAATTGAACGTGATTTCGTGATTTTCCCAAACTCTGCTCTATTTTATTCTAGGACGGTGATAACTGGACAAGGTTAAAATTCGTCAAACCTTCAAGTTGATGTGAGTTACATTTTGAACACTCCCCCCCCCTCCACTTTTCTTAATGAATACTTTATTCTAAAAAGGTAAATTGGGCAAAATTCTATTACAGAAAAAGTACATTAAAAAAGGGAAAAAAAGCTCAACGACAAGTTAAATGACGAAAAGAATTTGATAATCTTTTGCTAGAAGGTTTATTTCTCCCGGTTGGTAGTAAACCAGGAGAGGGCCTACAGTCAAGCTTTGTATCAAGCAGACAGCTTCAGACTGGAAACCTACCGGCACTGATCAGTTAGATATTTTGATTGCCGTTTGCCCCAAGTGTAACATAGGCCTGGCTATAGCAAACACGTCTTCACTATACGCACCCCGGCGATATCTGTGTTCATATGAAAGCTCATGTGTCCTGCTTCTGGTTTTCATTTTCTCAGACGGGCACCTTAGTGCGGAAACATCTCTTCAGTTATACGACATGTAGCCGACCACGCGACGCTATCATGCAGACACGCATCAATACGCTTTAGCATCAGTGGTCGGTGAACCCTTTTCCATTATTATTTCTGGGTCCAAAATACATGCTTCTAAAGTGGCATTGGAGGCTAACAAAACAGAAGACATCAAGGTTCATTTTCTTTTAATCTTCGACTGTCTCGGGTGTAATAACTGGGTAATCAAGCGGATGAAATATCGAAGGAGGGCAAACATAATTGCAATTCATTGAGTGATCTCCACCAGATGCGCACAGCTATTCTGGTGTGTATCGTATTTCGTGAGTAATTTATATCGAGTGTTTTAAAATGGGGTCATTCTTTGCCATTTTGGTGAGTTTTATTTTCTTTATCCAAGCTCTGAGTGCGAGGGCTGCGTGATAATTATACTCAATGCGTGAAACTTGCTGTTTTTGTTTTGTTGCATTTAACCCATTGTTCCAAAAAGATTTGGTACAATGCCAAATTTGAAGCCGATCCATCCATTGCTCAAAGAAAATATCCTCGAAGCAGCATTCACGGTAAACTTAAAACGACCTTTTAAAAGTAGGCTTAGCTTACTTTACAGTAAAATGACAAGAAAAAACCTTCAACAAACTTTTAATAACCCACAACGAAAACAACCATACGTGCACTTGGGAGATTTCGAAGATCCGTTTAAGTCTTTAAATTCGAATACTCTAGAGATTTCTTTTCCCATGTAGGAGGAAATGCCCTTGAAAAGCTTGACATATTTTGCTTTATCTTGAATGCAGTTAATTAATAATGAGTGTTTGGGGTTTATCGCTGGAGTTCAGGTGTTCTTTTTTTTCAATCAGCTTTTGGGCCTTGCAGTGACTGGGCGCCACGCAGTCAGGGCTATATAATAATATTACCAGCCAAAACTGAATATTAATTGTCATTGTAATAAAACAAAATTGTTTATCGATGCATCAATTAAACAGTTGGCATTAAAACCAAACGACGAATACAAGCATTTGGGGAAGAAGTGTGTATTTCAGCTTTGTCTGTTCAAACTCCCGACCAGATATTTAATCAATGATTCTGACAGGAATTAAAAAGTGTTGCAAGTCAAACCCTTATGGCGGAAATTGGTGACATAACATTGCACATTATTAGATTTCAAAGACGGGCTTACTATGGAATTGTATTGGTTACGAAAACATTCCAAATTATAACCTAGACAAATAAAAAACATTTCAAATTTGCCATAAGCCTTTTTCAAGTTCTGTTACAGAAGTGTTAAGAAATATGAACCACATTCCCACGTGGCCAATGCGTAATATGGGTTTATCGTCTCTACCAGCTAAAGCTTGGCCAGTCCCCTCCACGACCAGATCATGAAAGTTGTCAAACGTAACGTAAGTGTCCCGTTCAATCCCCACGCAATTGGTTCTTTCATTAAAACAGGTTCGTGTGGACGGCCCACGCGCAGATTCACTTCGCTTTCTGTCACCGTGGCTGACAGCAATTGCATCAACAACCCATAATTCCCACCCGGGACTGGATTCATAGATCGTATCTCCTTGAAATGGATGGTATTTTGTCTTGATTAATCTCTGGTCCCTACTGGCAAAATCTTGATGGCGGACAGTGCACAATTCACCTTGTCACGAATAGAGGGTTATTCCTTGGGACCACTTCAGGCGCGCTTTAGCGCAAAGGCGTGCACAGAGCATTTCAAAAAACAAACTTAAAAGGTTTAAAAAAAACCTGCGTACTGAAACATAAAACAACCAAGTAAACAAGCACAAATAGTTGCTATTAGGGATTTGGGTTTCCCAGAGGAGCAAGAAATAACCACTGATGTTCCTATATACGAACATTTCTGGCTCGAAAGGAAGTGTAAAGTTTAAACATTCAAAGCAATTTTTTAAAGAAAAATAGGATGAATGGTAACCATGATTTTTAAACATGCGTTCGCCAAAAATATTGGGGTCTTTCAAAAATAACAAAAAAGGACGAACGACTGAAGTTTATTAGTACATGTATCTTGAACCTGCATAATGGAAGCAAAACTCTGTGTACTCTCTTCGCTGGGAAATCGTCGACATTGGATACTGTCGACAGTAATTATTTACACGAGAACACTGCGTATCTCGTCACATTAAGAGAATAACGTATGTTATACGTGCATTTTGAGCGTTGATTGATTTTGATCTGTGACTGAGAGAAAAAAAGAGTGTACTAATTTTAAACTGCCGATAGAAACGACTAAGGGACAACGACCGTCACGCATAATTACACCTACAATAACCTGTCCTTCAACTCGTGTTTGGCACTTGTGGTCTCAAGTTTTTAATTAAAAACATGCGTATTGGGTGGGAATCTGACAGGGTATAAACTGCTTGGCTGGTTGGCGATGTAGGTGGAAGTATTTTGAATGTGCCTGTTGGGAGCGGGAATGGAGATTAATAGCAGACACGTTAAGAGCTCGTCACTCCATTGTCGGCTTTCCTATGACACATTGCCAGTTGCCTACGGGAACGGCGACTGCACTAAAAAGAGTGAGCAAGTTGAAATCGAAATGAGGTGTAATCTTGGCTAGCAAGAGCTTACAGCAAAATATACATGTCATCGATAGAAATTTTCCTGTTCTTAGCAACATCAGATACTAAGCTCTCCCTCGCACCAAACGTCTTGTCTTATATTCGTTGTCGTGTTCACGGTTAGTTTCTTTATGACCAACATTAACATTTCACAAACGCAACACACTCTTATTCCTGAAAATAAATAAATTGGCTGAAAATAAGTACATGTATACGTCTCACGGCTATAAAGTTATCCTAAATGCTCTGCAGTTTTTGAGGTGCTTTGTGAGTGATATTTAAACCGACACCCACCCTATTTCAAAAGCTCACTGGGTGCAAGAGCAGGTCCCGGTGGTAAGCGACAGCGCCTTATACTCGGGCTCTACACTGTACGATATATGGAGCAAAAAGACTTGGAAATGCGATTTTGTAATCTCGGGTTAGGGATTTACGGAGGTGAAACAGGGTGTAAACGCCCAGTTAACAAACAATCTAAAGAAACTAAAAATTAAAATCTCATATTGTGAAACAGTTTATTGCCGACCTATACCTAAATGTAAATTATGAACAGAATTACTCTATGTTTATATTCACACGATTAATTGATTAAAATGTACAAAGTAGTATTTCGAACAAGAAATATAGATGTTCCTTCGTGAAAGCTAAATGCATGGTTACGGTTTTTGGATAACACTATCTCTATGTTACATCAAAATTTGTTCGTCGGTAAAAAAAATTTTGTTTTCACAAGGTTCCATTTTATGCGAGGTCCAGATCGTGAGTATAATTCTTCATTGCTTCTAAATGTTTTGAATAAGAATAATGCAGCTGTTTATTTAACAAAACAACAAAATGCCACATTTCTATATTTTTCATTAAATAGTTTTTCCCATTTCCTCGAAATCTGTGTAGAAAAGAACCGACCGTGAATTGACAATACTGTAATTAAAGACGAGAGAACGGCATGAAAAAGACAATTCGGCTTAAAATGCATATAATGTAACAAGTCATATTCTACTTAGGTATTCACCTTCCCGATGACGACACTCGGGCAAGTTTTAGCCATAAATAATGCACAGGATGCATAGTGGAAAGAATGCGATTAAGACCAATACATATTTTGTACTCGTGCAAGATCATTATGCATAGTTTCAGCTTGAACTGACAAAATCAGTAATGCCTCAATTCCCATGCAGTCGAAACCGCTTCAAAAAGTGTCGTTCCAGGTCGGCTTATCCGACGTTGCACTTCGCGAGTAAGAGTATTTCCTCGGTTGAGCGTTCTTTGAGTAAACTTTCCCATGGTTGGTCGGCTTCTCCTCACTGTAGATATCGTGAGCGGTGCGATGACCAATCAGGTACCTCCTAAAAACATGGCGGTCAACTTGGGGAATGAGGTAGGGAGAGCCTGTGTACTTGGGTATGCTGCGCTTTCTGTTCATTTTTTGAGAGATTGAGAAAAAAATATGCTCAAAGTGAATGAATATAGATGGAGCTTTATTATATTTTTACATTTGGAGAAGAGGCTATGCCAGTCCAAATGGACAGATGCGCCCCAAAAACTTCATAAAACCTCAACCGGACATGTTAATACACCATGCATATAACGAAGACAAACTACTTATTTCATGACAGTTACTTGATTCAATTTAATCGTCCATCTTTGTCATACTGCAAAATGATCCAGCAAGGGGGTTAATGTTTTCAATTTTCATGACTTGCAACGTATCCTTATGCACTGAATTCGCTCGCTGCCTTTTTAACATGATATGTTTTAACATCTGTGAACTGTACGACCCACTAACTACACCACACACGCACTGGCAAAATATTGTATAACTAAAGATCGTACATGGTACGAAGAACGCATGATAACATTTTTCGTCCGAATACGCACAAATTCTTATAGTGTCTTCTTGTTTGCTTGGCAAGCATAAGGTGACAATAGCCTTGGAAAGTCAGGTTGCAGTAGGGGTTCTTTTCTCGCCATTTATGCACCTCTGCGGCCCAGGTTTGATTCCCAGCTCAGTCCAGGTGTGGAATGGGGGTTTCAGTCTCTTCAGGGAGAGCCCTGATTGGGTGAGTTTTACCCAGAATAGTCTTCTTGATTTTCCTGCCACCTTGAAATTGTTGCTGCTTCTCCTGTCTACACAGTTTTCTTCAAACAAGCTACAGAGCCTAGGGTGCTTTCGAGGAATCCTAGGTTTCTTTCGCCAGAAATGCTTAATAACTTCACAAGTGTGTGTCACGTCTGCTTCCTTTTCTGCCATCACCGAGGAGACACTTTTAAAAGCATTATTCTAATTTGCCACTGCATCTGATATGACTGGGCATGTAGGCGTATACGTACGTCTGAATCATGTTGTCCTTGTTGAGTTTCTTCTTCTCAATGAATTTGGCCCAACTGTCCAGCTTGCTGCCGGACTTCCGGAAGCTCTTACTGGACTTTGTTGACATGACATCATCCTGGATGTGACGGGAAGTGTTGGCCACTACCTCCCTGTCTGTCACGGGAGCTGTCGATCAAACAATGTAGCAATCAGCCTATCTTAACAAATCATACGGGTGTAAACATGTATTTGTCAATAATTTAATTTATACCTATAGGCACGAGTCAGGCAGAAACGCATACAGGCGATGACTTTTTCTCAGACACATTTTTAGGTACATCTTTACACGTTTCTTCAATGTATGAAAACTTCTGGGATTAAGTGTATTGAAAAGTGCACTTTTTTAACATCGAAAATTGAATTAGTTACTCCTTAGCTTATTGCTGTGAATTTAACAAACAATAAACCACCAAAACAACAGAAATTTACGACGCAACTTGAACATCTCGATCAATTCCTACATTACGAAAATTGAATATTTATGGATTCGGCGACAATTAGGCTTCAAAATGCCACACACGTAATAGCTAAAAAAATAATCAATGCGTTAAGAACTGAGAAGATGCTCTCTCTGGTTATATGTGCTAAATGTTCTTACTGTAATCATACAACCAGGCACATTTTGCAAGATGAGTACGGTACTAAAAAAGAAACACCTTGCAACCTGTTCAATTTTTGTAAACTGTTGGAATACTCGAGCAGTAAGCAGCGGCCTATGTGGCTACTCCCCACCAAACGTTACACTCAAATCAACCATCTATCATCTAACAAACGAAATGAGGTGAATATTACAAGCACTGTGTGAAGAAGACAGGCATGTTAATAAAAGTGGCCTAGATTGATGAATACAGGGGCTTCGCTATACAAGTACATGTACAAAGGTTGCAGCAACACCAAGCTCTTACACAATTCAATGGGAGGTTCCTCTGTCGGCGGGCTGACGCTGGGGGCGTACCTCTCCTTCGTCGTCAGGGTGCTCCCATCTTCCTCGGCCTCCTGTGCCACCTCGGCTGGAGCCTCTGGCGCCTCCTCCTTGGCCTCCTCGATGAGTCCCATGGCCAGGAGGTGCGGTCGGCTCTCCTCGTCCACAGCGGCGCCTTTCCCCAGAAGGACCTCGCAGCATTCTTTGTACTCGCGTGAGGCCGCCAGGTATAGTGCCGTGTGGTTCTCGCTGTCTCGCATGTCGAGCACATGCTCAGCATTGTCTTTCCTGTGACAAAACAAGCGGTGGAAAAGGATTAAAAAAATCAGCAAATTATAAAACTAACCTTTAAAAATTTAAGGAAAACATTTGAAAGAATTTGGAATAGTGCTGTTGAAAATAAAATGTTGACTCAAATAAACCTATGCCCATTAAAAACTTCTCTTTAAGTGTGCAAAGAACGGAAATCATTTATGCATAATTTGGCAATTTTTTACAATGACTTTATTCCATCAATGAATATATGATACGCCTTTTGGTGACATACTGACGTTTACCTGTCATTCGGTTTCTCCTTGTTTTCTTTGTCCTGTTGCGATGGTGTTCCGACATACTCGACTAGGATTTTGAGAATATCTAGATAATCACTCTCGGCTGCCTGCTGAATAGGTGTTCTGCAGCAGAAATATTATGCAAACAGTAATAACAATCAAAAATGAAATGCTAGATCACCTCGTTTGTTTTAAATATATTTTTAAAGGCTTCGAATAGAGAGAACAAACCAAAACTATCATTAAGTCCCAATCATACGGCACAAATTGCATCCAATCACTAAAATGCAAGATTGGGGGCCTGCAACGCAATTACCGAAGAGTAACTTGAGAAGCATGAAATTTACCTTGAAGGATGGAAAATATAGGACCTAGCGTGGATTTGTATCTCTCAACTGTCTTTGCCTCAAAACTTGTATGTAAATAAGAACATACCTGTCATCTTCATCCTTCATGGAAACACCTTTTGACCCTTTTTGCATGAGGATACCCACAACATCTTTGCGTTCACTTGCTGTAGCAAGGTGAAGAGGAGTCTCGTGTTTCCTGTTGGTAGGATCCACACTTGCACCCTGCTTGAGCAGCAGCTGGCAGAGGGCGCTGTCGCCTCTTGAAGCGGCAAAATGCAATGCTGTGAGCCCCTAATGGTCGTTGAGAGAATGCATGGTACACTGAGTACTGCATGATTAATATATGTAATTACGCTATAAGAAAAAAGCACAACACTTCCAGCATGTACAATGTGTGTCTTTAAAACGAAAGACACAAACTGTCCTTTCAGAGAAGAGTTATGACCAGCCGATCCTCATGAATGCGGGAAGCGCTGGCCGAAAACACACACTGTAGAGGACAGATCTCCCCCTGCAATGTCATTGTTTGGAAACCAATCACAGCGTATCAAGTGACCTTACCCAAAAGTCGCCACATTCAACCTGTCAAGTAAGAATGCGTTCATCGGCCTGTAGAGACGTCTGTATATTAGGGTGAATTTTTAATGAAGTAACCAGATTTAGGTCAAAATGATGATGGAATCTAATAATCACTATAGCTGTATACCAACAAAACCTAGCTGAAACAATTTATTAGCTTACATCTCCGTCGGATGCGTTCATTTCCACTTGCTTCTCTAATAGGATTTCACATATTTCTTGGTAACCCTGGGAGGCAGCATAGACAAAAGGCGTCCTACCAGCGAAGTCTACTGCACTGAGATTACAGTCCTGTCAAAAGAAGGGGCAGTAAACAGTACATGTAATTAGATGAGGCTGACATACCAACTTAGGCAGGTACAGTGATACCATTATTGAACATGCTGTGGCTACTTCAAACGAATACTCTTTATGCATTCGAGGAACGCGACCAAGATGGTGCCTGTCCTACCTTGTGGACGAGCAGTCGTACAATGTCTGGTCTGTTGACCTGCACAGCGCAGTGGATCGGATAGAAACCAAACTTGTCCTGCACGTCGATGGCTTTCCCGCCTCCATTCTCCAGAAGGATCTCCACGCTGCTTTTCTACACCAGAACAAAATAAACATATTTTGACCAAACATCAGAGGAATCAATATAATGTCTCGAAACAAGACAAGGAGAGTACGATATGATTGAGACCGCACAAATTGGATTTGCTTGCAAATTCTCTTTATACAAGAGGTAAACCATTGTAAGTTCACTTCAGAAGCGGTTCATCTTCCACAAGCCCAAATCCGTGGACATATCAGTACAACGTTACAGAGTGTGGTTTGTATACCTACCATTCCTTGGATGATGGCCCAGTGTAGCGGGGTGCGGCCCAAGTTGTCTAGCTCGTTTATCTTAGACTCGCAGTCCAATAGGTATTTTATAAGCTCATCATTTCCCTACAAAGATTAACAGGTAATCTTAAATTACTTGGCGGCTGAAATACCAAACTCAAAGAGAAATAAACAGGGTGTTTTTGAATAAAACAGGTTACAAACTGGATTTAGCTTTAGAAATTGCAATGTTGAAATGTTGCTTCTTTCTCCTTGAAACAAAAAACAACTTTCAATCTTTTAAAATCCTTTTCTTTGACCCAAATTGCTTGGAAATGTTGAGCTATGTGCACCGTTTGTTTTTTGCTACAATCTGAAAGTTTGCTTTGTCTAATACAACATTCTATTGCAATGAGTTTGTCCTGATCTCAAAACGAAAAAGCAAGTAACTGGTCTTAGGCAGAAATCAACCACAGTAAAAATATTGTTGTACATGTATACGACTGACCTCGCCGGCAACCAGGTGCAATACAGTCTGTTTGTGCTTGTTCGTCTTGTGAACCAGCGAAGGATCCTTGTCGATTAGCAATTTTGCACACTTTATGGTCTGAATGAGAGGTCACAGAGATATGGAATATCACAACTTGAAGTCAGGATCTGGTCAAAAGCAAATAACTGAACGACTTTTTACTCATTGAAAGAAGAGAAATTTACTGAAAGCAACTACACTTTAAATCAGGCAGCACTATATATCCCCTTCACGCATTTAAGAGGAAAGATCACAGACACAATTTCTATGTAGAAACATCTGCACTCAAAGAATAAAAATTGGACTGATTTGGAATGTATAACCAGTGCTTTCAAATGACATATAAGTACATAAAATGTGGCGAGAATTACAAGAAGAATCGGTGATTAAGTTTTACCTTGTTTTGCTCCGTTCTGTGTAATGCTGTTCTCCCTTCCCAGTCGGTAATGTCGGTAGGTGCTCCTTTCTTTAAAAGGAACTCAACCTGCCAGAAATTGGAATAACACAAAAGACAACGATAAGGGAACACTGAAATCATTTATGTTTTGAACAAATGTTCACAGTTTAGAAAATAGCAACCATTTATGCACCACTGAGCAACCTTTCTACGGCAGAACAAGATTCACGGTAACTCCTGAAAAATTGTATGGCTACAGTCTATAGCGGCTTACATAGACGCGAGAGTCATCCCCAGCAGTACAGTCAAGTGTCTCGAACAGGGCCCAGGAATTACGTGCAGATAAACTTGTTGTTCTAGAAACTATTCCAATCCCTGTCTTTCTTTAATTCTGTTTGGCGCAACTGTCAGCTTGCACGTGGAACGCCTACCTTCACTTCAGATTCAAGTTGTGCGGCAACCATCAGCGCCGTATCGCCGTTGTCATCATGCGCGTCGATTTCGGCGCCGGCCAATAGCAGCAGGTCTAGCGTCTTGACGTCTCCCTTGGCGATGGCGTAGGTCAGCAGGGTCTGGCCCTTGGCGTTCATCTGGTTGGGGTTTTCGCCGTACAGTTGGAACTGGGTTTGCAGCTTCTGGAGGTTGTCATCCCCACGATGGCAAGCGCTGAAGACTTCGTTAACCTAGAGTTGCCGGTGGCAAGAAAATAACTTAGCCTACACGTATTATTGTTCCCACAGGTGGTTGCATATTAGTTTTTTTAATCCATCCTATAAATTACCGTGCAGATTCTTTTTTTTAATAAACAGAGCCATGCCCTTAAATTAGTTCATTGCGATGGCTGGGGATGGTGTAAACCCAATTACCTCACCTCTGTTTCATTTTCTTTGTGCTCACCGCTGTTCTCGTCCAGTTCAATGAGAAGGGGATTGCTCGAATCAGACTGCACAGCAAAAACATCCAGAGACATACATTCATATGGAAAAGAAATAGCTGGTCGGAAGGATTTTTACTGTTAATTCGTTGGCTTACACAAAGACACGTAAAGTATGGATTATAGGAAAAGGTAAGTAGGAAAACAGCGAACATCTGCTTACGTGTCTCCCAATAATATCGTCGTGTCACGGGGCTCTAAACTGCATAAATGTGCGTTTAAATAGGCAGTTGGCCTAATTCTTAACGAAACGGTAGAAATTTTGAGGGGCGGGTACTGGACCCTACGGCGTTTATCAGCGAATGATCTGCAGCAAACTTACACACTAACCCGCCAGAAGAGCAATATGGAACCAGCAACGAACATGTCGTCCTCAAAATACGTTGATGACATCTTTTTGAAATAGCTGTGAAATTAACTTCATCTTGGTATATGTAAGTCCTAAACATGCTTCAGTTGGTCCCAACTCTCGCACAAACAGGCGTTACGCTTATCCTGTACTTGGGAATGCGAGAAGGATTTTTGGTGCATGCTATAATTTTGGAATCTTACATTTGTTTCGTTGAATGCCTGGTGACATTCCGATGAACAGAACAGCGTCCTGTCGTTGCCTTGGAGGCTGTAGAACTTGGCGGTATTCTTCCCGCATTGGGCGCAAACCCGGTCCGAGTTTCCTGAATAAAAGTTCACAAAATTGTCCAAGCGTTTCAAAATTAAGCTGAATACTCTTGACGGTCTGTTAAAAAATGCAACGTAAGATCAAATACTTGTATACGTCAACATAAAAAATGTGCATTTATAGGTCCTAATCTACAGACACAATTAACTGATATATCAAGCCGTGTCCAAAACAGACGCCCAGAGATACGGCCACGTCTGTTATCAGTTTGTCTACGTGTATCTTAAGGGCAAAGACCAAGACCTACACGTAGCTGTACATTACTTTATTTGGATGCCACTTTATAGTTGATTACTTATACGATGCTTTGACAAGAGCGTCACGGTCACCAAAGTCATAAATTTGATCTATAGTTCGAAAATCAAAAGCTGGTATTAAATTATGCAGTACATGTTGACGGCGTGAATGTATGTGCAGTGGGATTAGTTTTGTTCTGACTTGTTTTATGATTCGTACACACAAAGGGCCAGAAAGAAATATTGGGCCTGAGTGCCGATCATTGAAAATGCGGAGTTGCGTCTTCCATGCGATTGGGGGGGGTCCAGGACTAAGACTTGCATGTGTGAGCAAGAAGCCAAGGGAATGAATCCAGTTTGTTTGGAGTGTTAGCAGTGTATTTGGGCTGGAGACTGGGGCGACTGTACCACTGAATCAAGTCAAGTCCCCTGGTGGCGGAAACGGGGGGGGGACCAGTGCCCCCCACACACACGACTAGGGGGAGTAGTTCCCCCCTCCACACACACCCATACACACACTTTTTGCAGGTCTTATACATTGTAATGGAGAGGGGCTTAATGAATCGGCCTATTTTTTTATTAATGGCCGATGCCTGGTGGTCTCACAACTGCCCCCCCCTGAATCTGTTACAGTTTCCTCGCCTTTCATCCCCAGCCAGGACCCAGGTTGGAATCCGACCTTGCACTGTTTTATGTAGACAGGTTTTAGGCCTATGACATCTTTTCACACAAAGTGATGTCCCTCTTACATCTGAAACTAAACATGTCACCGTCTTTTTTTTTCATCCACGGGGCTATTCCCGGGATCGTTAACCACAGCACAGTACAACGGACGTCTTTCAGATTCTCAGGCCTTTAACCACGGATGAACAACACTTTCACCCTAGCCTACATGTCATTGTCAACAAATACATATCAATCGTGTACAAGTATTTCATCGTCAAGGGTTTATTTGACATTCACTTCTGAAACCAGACGTCATTGAACAGATCAGAAAGCAACCATGCATGTACAATGATTGTGCGAATGGCGCCAAAACCAGTTGTCATGACAACACAATACTGCCATAAATACAACACCTTCCGGTGAAGCCTGCCTTCTCATTGGCAGCCGATTCACTCCAGAGAAAACCTACTAATTAGGGTCATTAATCTGTGGAGAGGCGTATGTTTTGTGTGAATAATTTAAGCGTTACAAGAAATTATAATTAACTAGGGTCTCGGCCTGTACCCTTAAAATCCTGCAAATATCCTGAATAAGTTATGCATTTATGTATTTTGTCAATAGCAATTTAAAAAAAACGCTTTCTTGGTAGATTCTTCTGAATAAATCAAATTTATAGGCCTACCCTATATTAACTGTGGGTTGAAAAGAAGCAAACATTTTCTGTTTGAATGATATGTATTTGATACTTTTAATTACTTATAGACCTTCAGTTCAAAGTGTATCATCACTAGAAACTGGACGGCCATTTACCGATAATAAATATCTACCGATAATAAATATACGCAGCAAGATATGGGACAGAGGGGTATCCCCCCCACACACACTTGTCCAATCCCTATACACACGCTAAAATATTGTTATTTATTAAACACATCCCCCTAGATATCTGTAAAGAATTCCTGAGATTCCGATCAAAAATTACCAAGACAAAGGTAGGGGGTGCTCTCCGTCCCATGTCTCGCTTCAGATTGAGAAAAAAGGAAGAGATCAATATACTACATTCAGTTAACTAAGAGTATGTTGTTGGTGTAGGAGGCAAGCAGGTAGATTGTCTCATTCAAACACCTAGATCAGCCACCGATGTTTGGTGACAAAGCCGTTCACTCATAAGGATTCCCATGTGTGATTTTCCCGTAGTAACCGTAAACGGCAGAGCATACAGGCCTAGATGCATCCAGGGCTAGGTCTAAATGACCCATGGCAGTTTGTGCACGGCTATTCACTCGACGCAGACTGACCATGACGTGAATTGTAATGGCCTTCTGGTTACGGGAAAGCAGAAGCTCTCATAGAGCCGCTGAAAGCGCCCTTCGTTATAATGTCGCAAATTCATGAGCCTATTATTGTAGCGACAATGCCCTACTGTTAAGCCCCTCGCTCCAAACGCTATCTATTCTACTCTGGATGCATTCTGAAGCATAGGCCTGCATCATCATGGCTGGGCAAGAAAGCTGCCGATGTACCTTTCCCACATTATTGTGTGTCAACAGTAATGTAAGACACAGCATTCTGACCTGCCAAATACCAATATTTCGATCGGCGTGTATCTTTTGCACTTTTCCCTTTCCTTGACACCCCATTGAAGCAGTTTCCATTAAAAAGTCGTATCACGGAAAATTACATGAATTAGCGGGTCAGAATTTTATTCAATCCCCTAGCCTTGGTTGCCTAGCAACGAGAAGCAAATGGCTACGTCGGAGTTTTATTTCACTCTTTCAATTCATGTTCATGCACTCTTTTCACACGGAAGTCGTAAAAATGGAAGCTGTGAGCACTTTTTTATTGACAATGAGGTGACGGTAAAATATTGTCAAATGTCATTGACACGTAGTTATAAACATAATTTAAAGAGCTTTGTTTATGGTAAACTTTGCATGGGTGTACCACCTATACTGTCTAGTTTCATGAGACTCCAAAATACCGGATAACGTCTGTATGGTACTTGTAAACACCTCCCCGCCTGATCGAACCCATAATTTATTACCAGTGAACCGCTTTTCTGGAATTTTACTCACCATTTTGATATCACGAAAAGATGCATATTATTTAGAAATTTATTTCGAATACAAGAACTGATTTTATTCACACCACGCAGCTTGTTATTATTGAAGGCCTAAAAGCTTCATTCTTTAAATTTAGAGCCTAAAAGCAAAACGTGTGTTAACATGCAAATGAATTTCCTTTAGGCAGTCCGCAGAGGGGAGCTGGATCCGTATATTCTGTAAGAAAATAATCATAATTACAAAGAAAATTCGGGACGAGGTTCATGAAGCTTCATTCGGATCCCGTGTTTTGTTGACGTGATTTTTAAGACATGCTATACAGAACCGCATGAACTCCAAAATTGTTTCCTTCCATTTTCGGCTCCAAAGAATAAGCTGGAACCAACTGCCTTGCAGAACTCAAACAATAAAATGAGGAAATCAGTGACAATAATGTTATGAGTTTGAAAATTCGCCATAGTGTATGGACAAAAATAATGAGTACAGATTCACTTGTGACGGAAAAAAAATCTAACAAGCCCCCGACATGTATCTCACTAATTCAAATCTACCCGCTGCTAATGAATAGGCTTATGTCTTCTGTAATACCGTTTATTACAAGCTGCAAGCTGAGGCTTATTCCAACTTCGTATTCAATCTTTCGTGGCAAAATTGCCGACATATCACAATGCATGTACATGCTACTTTACACCTGTGATAATTTCGTAAGAACCTGTGCGGCGGTACTCGGGTTTTTTTCCCATGAATGAAGAATAATAGTTAAATGAACAATAACGATGACCTGAAATCTTCAATGGTATTATATTGCGTACCTTTTGGGTTGGTAGTCATGGTGATTAATTCTGGTCGCTTTTACCTGAGCACAAACCGCCAGTGCTTTCTTAAAATCATCCTGTTGATGTGGAAGTCTCAAGCCGGTCTGTTGTACACATGTTATTCCGGCATAGGTCCGAGTAATTACGACACGAGGTTTGTGATTTTAATTGTGTACGATCAAGCTATCACCTCCAGTAGTAAAGTAGTATCGACACCCTCGACAACGACAATGTCGATCAACAGTTACATGTATATCCACTGATGTCACGATGAGTACATGTCGTATTATGCACTAAGCCAGCATACATGTCAGCGGCATAACAGGTTTCTCCATCTCCAGGAGTCAGTTGGTTGAGCTTTGCTGTGTCGGCTTCAACGGGGCAGCACAAGAGCTCACGTGGGGATGTGTCTCGCCGGCCACCGGTGCCGCGGCTGCGTGCACTGATATCGAAATACTCACGATGGTCAGTATCAACTTGAACACTTCACGAACTTCTGACACCCAAAATTTGTTTGATGAGCCAATCGGATAGTGTGGATTATCAGAGTTGTTGGTTGGGTCATAACCTGGAATTATCCTGAAGCGCAAACATCCCACACATTCATTGTCTGCAACGTATCAAACACTCTGAACTGAGCTGTCTGGTGGCTTCGTAGTGGGTCCAAAAGCAGCAGATCGAGTGCCTTTAAAACAGGAAATTCGTTGGAAAGACTAACGCCCCCTTTGCCGGGAAAACCAGCCCCCGTCCATTCAGTGAAGTTTAAGGATCAATTGAGTCAAAGGATCCAGCAACGATTTGTAAACGTCATCAATTGAGTGGGATTTGCTCGAACCAACCACTAGTTGTTTGGATGGGCAATCGGTTGCCAACCAATCGATACTGCGTGGTCCTCACTGACCCACTCAACCACGACTCATTATGATTGCGGTATACAAACACGATGTTGTTGTGGTCAATGATGACCAGTAGATTGAGGGCGTTGTGCCGTCCCCGAATAAACACAACCCTAAACATGCGCTGTTCATGCAGAGTGCATGTATGTGTAGATTTAGGGGTAACCAGCAGGGTTTTAACGGGACACTGCATCGACCGTAAAGTGCCGGCCCGGTATAAAAAAAAAAGGAAAAAAATGGAGGTAGGACTAAACAGCATGATTTGTGCGAGGACCGTGGGCTAGTCCTTGCCATATTCCAAATCCAGGCTTCGTTGGTAAACATTGGTGTTTTTCGGACTGCATTTTATTTAAACGTATTTTTTTTCAGTCAATTCAGATAAGTGTGCCCAAACTTTTGGCCTCTTTTTGGTAGTTTGATGGGTCTGCTCTCTCAACGGGTGGAAAGCCATTGCTGGCCGCCAATACGAAAGCAAAACATTAATAAGTATGAAAATCTCACTTATCTCTCACACCACCAAATCAGCACTGAAGACTTAATGCGAGTATACATCGTCTTTCATTAATCGTAATGTGGCAAGTGTTCATTTTGAGTAAAGCCGACAATAACCAAGGGTGATGTTTCTGCATACTTCCGTCGGTCGACCACATGAAGACAAAATGCGCTAGCGGTTGTCTTTTTTTACGCGTCGGCCAAATTCAAGGCTCTGATCGGAGTTACCAATGGGTACTGACGTGCGTCATGGTGGAGGTCTCTTGACAAGGATGGATAATTTTGAAAAGGGTCAAATTTTTGCCACGCAACGCCGCCGGCAAAGTTACAATTCATTTGCATTTAGCATTCCCTTTGAAAAACGCTTTTTGCCGAGGTCACACAAATTAAGGTATTTTATGAATGTAAAGTCACTGATGCAGTACAGAAATGAAAAGTGGTAAAGCCCGTTGCAAAAAATACTCCAACACACAAAAGCACTTTCTCAGTACGATGAAGCTGTAAACTTTTAACAATCATTGCCAACAACTTTATCTTCTTGTTGATTTACACCAACTAAAACTTTTGGAGTCATGGTTGTTGTAAATAACCAACTCAAACGAGAGTTGCTGTATGGTGGATGTTATCTTTATCCTTTGCGTGTTTACGGTTTGCTTGGTGAAAGAAAGTTGCTGGCTCCACCTTGATACCCGATGTAAAACACTTTGCTCAAAGAAACAATCAAAAGTGTGACCCATAAGGCCCATAACAACAAAAGGGGACCTAGATCCTATAAATAGAACGTGGAAACGACCACAAACCTCAGTGACCAAATATCGCCAGAAATTAAGGAAAAATGAAAGCAATATCAGGGACCAGTGAAATCTCCAGTCATGAGTTTATGTATTTCCCAGAAACTACTGAGGTTATGCCATTTATTACTGAAATTTTGAAGTAAGGCCCGATTGCCAGTTTCCCTACTAAAAGTTCCGTTTAAGACAAATGCATTTTCTACATTTATAATAATCAAAATCACATGCACGTTGTACTGTTTTAGCATCTCCACCTTGCTATTAAAAGTGGTTTAAAAAACCGATATATCGTCCTGACAAAAGTAAAATACATGTACATAAAAGAATATGTGTATACCTGATAGCCATGATGAACAATATAAAAAAGGTAAAAAAAATCTCATTAGTCATTACTGTGTTTTACATTTACTGAGGTATTACACAAATGAAAAGTTAAAGCCTGGGTGAAATCGTACCAAGTAGTTCACAGCTTTACAGTCAGAAATGTTTGCAAGAGTTCTAGTCAACGTTACTGTCTAGGACCTACATGCGCTAAGAATGTAAAGAGGGGACAATTTTCTAATTCTGAGCACACAACACAAACAGCCCACAGTTCTAACAAGTACATGTAACCCCAAAACATCTTTACAGCTGTTCTGTTTGAAAAAACAGGCGCTTGGCTCAAATCCTCCTCACGTGTGAAATCCATGAACTAACATACAGGTACATGTACTGACACATGCAAAACAAGCTCTTACTTTTTTCTTAATAATATTTCTGTTGCTTTAACATAAAAGAATAAGACTGGCTGTTCACATAAAAAAACACCAACAAAACCCCAAATTGTGTTAACCCTAACTCCCCAGATTGATTTACTAGGAACCATACCCATTCACACAAATTCCAACACCATATGGTAAACTGTGCACATAAACTGTTGGACTCTGTTTATTTTGGGTATGCCTGAACCCATGTTAAAGCACAAGCAGTTTAGGGGTACAGTACCCAGCGCCACAAATTCACACACTTTACAAGTGTTCAGTTCTGTGTGGTTAGGGAAGGTTAGGGTTAATAAACTAGTATGTGGCCAACTGTTCCCAAGTAATTCTATGACATACATGTACATTGTATTTGGATAGTAATGCTGAACAAAATGCTTAACCATCAGCTGCAAAAAAAAACTTGATGGCAAATGTTTTATAACAAGAGCAACAGCATTCTAAATTTTGAAATGGCTGGGTCAGGACAATGTGTATTCTGAAAGGATTGATAGTCTGTAAACAAAGTTTCCTGGTGGACACTGACGATGAAAACAAGAAAAATACTGTGGATAATAGTCTATGATAAACAACGATATTAACTGACACCAATGAAAATCCTTTTCAACTAAGAAAACATTCACCAAAATACATGTAGGTACCGTACTTGTACAGGTTCACGCTTCAGCCATTCCATGAGAAAAAAAAACCCCAGAACACTCTTTATGACCTGTACTTTATTTCTCCCCTTGTGTAAGGAAGAGCTCATGTTGTGTTATATACAAGATTCACACAAACAATAGCAAAAATACACGTCTAAACTAATTCCATACATGTGCATGCTTTTCATTTACTCTACAGCAGCTACAAGTCTATCGACTCTCCTTCAAAAATGAGAACACGTTAGTTAAATAAATACATGTATTATATTCACATACATATTTGAAAGCTGCCCAGATGTGAATGGTGATAAGTACCGGTAAAACCGTATGGAAAAATTGAGTGGAATTAAACAGGTGAAGTTAAAATTAGATGAGAGATGAAACAAGCACGCTGGCAACTAAGACAATGAGAGATCATGTTGGAAACCTCTCCACCGTCCACTGCTGTTCAACCACTGTGCATTATTTCTGATACTGCAACATAATAATATCCATCATTGTTTGCTAATTTTGAATTTTTAAAAATTTTTACTGGCTAAAACATCTGAGTTGAAAGTCCAAAATGTATTTTTAGAAAAATGCAAAAACTAACTCAAAGTTAAAAGAGCATACTTAACCTTTTGGTCACTGTGTTCTTACCATCTCCAGTAGGCTTAGATTCAACTTTTAATCCTAAAAAGAGTCACATCTGCTAATGCTTCCAAGAACCACATTCTGGTTCTCCCAGGAACCATCCCTGGATCTTAGATCTGATTGAGACTCACACAGTGACCACTTCTCTTAAGAAGCCACCGGTACCCTCTTTTTCCCCAAAACAGCCGCAAGGCTGTTGGTCCATGTTGGAACCACATGGCTCCTTTAAGTCTGGGGGCTTCCCTCGTTTTCACAAAACCATTTTCACTACACCAATGACAAATTCTAAGCATTTTAGTTTTTACAGTGTACACGACTTCCCAACATGCAAAGCTTGAAATTGTGATAAAAACAACTCTTGATTTGGCTTCATTTCATTAAAATTGACTATTGGCAAGAATTAAATAGAAAGGAAATCCTCTAAAATGGCGCCAAGATTACTGCGAACTACAAGTATAAAAACAAATCCTGTTCATCTTGTTCTGAAAACCTCGTCACAATAAAAAACACCTTACAAAAAAAAAACACCACTGACTTTATCCCAAAACAAGTCTCAAGTTGCCAAGTACAATCTAAAGCACAGGGTGTTTAACACTCAAATTGATATGCTTTAAAGACTCCAAGTGGTGATTACCCCAATTTGGCTAAATGCCTTTCTAATGTGACACATGGAGGTGGGTCATAATATAAATCTGGGGTTCAAAAGTGTGACCTTTGTGGTGTCCCTGTTACACCCGACCTATGGAAATTGACATCAAAATATCACTGAAATTGACTTTCAGCTGCATTTATTTGTTTGGAAGGTATTTTGCATGAATTGATCACTCTTAGAAAGTAAAGATTGTGTTCCAAAACTTCTTTGTTCTTTGCTGGATGTGACAGGGGCACACAAAAAATGGACCCCAAATTTATAGAATGACCCAAGTGTCAGCATGTACCTGTATGTAAGTGGGTAGTCTAGAAATATACTGCTTTGAAGGATCTGGAGCAAGTTTTATCATTTTGCTCATTCAGAGCAATTTGTACAAAATTGGTTTTCCTAAAGAGCATGTTCCTGGCCAATACAATTTTAGATGCTTGCGATTAAAAATTACACTCAAAGTGAATCTTTTCTGCAGTATTACTAATTCTTCAAAACTAAACCCTCTGGACTACCTTGAACTTTGATCTGTGGACTAAGAACACGTACTGACAGACTGTGATGAGATGTCCATTTCATTAGGTCTGCTAATGTACCTTGACTACCAGGAAGCAGCTGAGCTGATCACCTGAGGGACTTGAGCTTGGTGAAGGACTTACGGACGTTGGTCATAGGCTGCTTGATCTTGGGCTTCTCAGGGAACAGCTCAGCCTCGCTAGCCGTGGTGGGCAGCTGCCGGGCGTAGATGTCGGGGTAGGTCTTCTGGAACTGAGAAAGAGAGCAGGGTTTGATCAATCTGAACTCTTTGGGCAGTTTTGCTGGGAACGTTCCTGGATTTTCACAAATTCTACATTGTGCAGGAAACTAATGGCACATATACTGTCCAGCTTTCGAGGGGTATAAAAAATTTACCTGGGAGCGCGAACACGAACTTGTTTTGCATAATAATTGCATTTTGAATATTAATTTACAGGTATTTTTCTTTCTCCATGACAATGAAACGTATTTTGAATTGGTACAATTTTTTTGCTTGGGTGAATGACTGCTCACCTGTTTGAGTTTTTTTTTCTTTTCTTTGGCCGGCATGTTCTGGTCGCGGATGATGACCTCTAAGAGGTCGGCTACGGCCTGCTGCGAGTTGCTCAACTTCTGCGCCTCGTACTCCTGCAGGCTCAGCTTCTTGCAGTAGGAGGGCGCTGCAGGGTTCTGGGTCTCCGTTGCTGTCACGTACTTTATCTGGGAAAAGAAGATCAAGACAAGAACACTGAGATTGTGTGGTACAAAAATTCAAACGAGCAACACAGTTACATGTAGACTAAAGTTTCGCTTCATGTAAAGCAAGCCCATGAGGATAAAGGAGCTTTTTCAAAACGACAACATGAAACTCTCTTGCTGAACGGTGTGATAAAAAAAATGCCTGGTTGAGAGTTTGTAAAAGGAGTGATTGGTTGCAAAGTTAACATAAACTGAACCCTAAAACAAACTTTGGTGATATAACATCACGACCACCAAAACCTAAGAAAACCAGAGAAATCTAATATCCCACACAAAATGATGTGAAAAAACAACAGGTTTAAAATCTCACCTGGCCCCGTTGAAGGTACACAAGCCTGTCCTGGATGTCTGCCTTCAGCTCCCCAGGCTGGGAGAAGACGTTGCCGTGGTTATCCATCAAGTACTCAACGATGCGGGAGGCTAGAGTCTCGTCGTAGTCAATCTCCTCCTGGGAGCACAAGATGGCTCGGCTGAATGTCTCCAGGACCTGAGATTTACATGTGGTCAAGCATAACAAGACAAACAGACAACAGTCAAGATAACGTGAGAGAAATGTCCCAAGGAGCAAGTGATGAAGCTTGGGACCACTTATCTGACAAAAAAGCAGCTCACTAAAGAAGCCTCGGGCCAAGTTTCTAGACCTACAAATTGTTCAACACAGTCCAGTGGTGCGGATGGGGAAAACCCACAACACGTCAAGCAGAGAGGCGTTAACAGGGTACTATGACCTTTGCAAGGCTTTTAACAGCTGTGGGTAACCGGTCATGAAATCTCTCCCCAAATGGGCATGGTTATGGAAATCTTGCACTTGGTTTTGTCCACAGTGGTTGAACTATCAAACAAACCATACGGGGAAACTGACTAGGAGCTGGTAAATCTACAATGAGGGGGCTGAAAAAACCTAAAAAAATCACATCCCGTGGGCTAAGCTACATCTATGAAGAGTATTTAACAGCAAAAGCCGGGTTACCAGGTGCAGGGGTGAGATGACCAGTGATAAAAATAGCTGAAAACAGCTGAAACGAAGGCATAAAAAAAGCTCAACTGTGAAAATCTCCTATGTACGCAGTCAGTGAGGAAATAAAAGCTGAGAAATCTCACCCCTGCAGGTGGAATGCTGTGTGGGGGCAAAATGACTAGTGGCCTGCATCTGCCCCAAGTGGCTTAAAACATTGCAAGGTAAATTTTCTGGCTTAAAAGCCATGCAAAATTGTGTCCGGGCATTGTTGATTTGGGCAGGGGGCCCACTTACAAGCTGCCTGGTCGTCTTGCGACTGCTCAAAACCAGATCGGGATTGGCCTCCATCCGGGTCATGAGCTTGAGGAGGAGGTGGAGCTTGCGTCTGTTGACGGGGGGCAGGAGGAGACAGCACAGCCTTAGGGCCTCTTCCGTGTACGACTTGTCATCACTCAGGTACAGGCCTAAGATGGACAGACAAAGAGCGAGAGAGAGAGGACTTGGCATCAAAAGCACAACCTCCACACGAAAGATTCATAGGGAGATGCAGTAATTATTCCACACAATGTCAAATGGATCTTATATGCGAGAGTTTCAAGTTGAGTGATGTGCTCAATCAGGATACCCTTGGGGGACTTTTCCGACAAAAGTCTGATGATGACTGGAGCATAAAAGTCAAAGAGCTTGTCTTGTTAAGGTAGGGGTTTCTAGATAAACTTAGAGAGTATTACATGTGCATGGTACATGTATACCCATGAATCAAAATACATGTAGTTCAGTGGTTTATTGTGTAGTCAAATTTGGAAACTGATCTGATGGGATATGACAAAGATTAACCAACACAAACCAAGAAAAATAAACTCCTTCCAAAAACAAACAAACATAAAAGCACACCAAATAAAACAAACTAAAGCACTACCCATGCAAACCAAATTAAACATAAATCAAGCCCAACAAATCAAACAACTAATAAAAACAAGCAATGACCAAGCTGAGAAACCAGGACACCAAGCCATAACCCAAAATCAACAATCAAACCACCCTCTACAAACATACTCCAAACCACTCAAACCCCAAACATATATACACGTACACGTAAATTAGAAAAATAAACGCACAAAGAATTCCCTACAATTGAAACAAAGATGCTACACAATTAACACAAATAGATTTGAAACAAGCAATTTATCAATTTTGTTTTTTCGTAGAATATAAACAATGGAAAATCATTTATGTATCAGTAAGTATTAGAATGGAGACCCAACATGCAGATTGTTATTCACACTTGAAAAAACCCCACGTGTTACTGTACATGTACATTGTACATGTATCTAACCTTTTATATACATGTAAGTTATTTCAGTCTTGCTAGATATAAAAAGAGAAACACAGAGAAAGCAATGACATGTTAGGCAAGTCAACCTTACTTGTTGTGCTGTCACTTCTCTTCATCTTCTTGCTCCCGGCCGAACTTTGACCATTGACCGTTGACCTCATATCTGTGGCACTGGAACTGCGTAGTCTGTTGACCTGAGGGCAAGAGTCTGGTGTGTGGCTGGCACTGTTGGCACCGGTGATGTCGGAGTATGAGAGGGTTGCACGCAGGGGTGGGGGGTAAGGCGGGCTGATTCTCTCCTCCTGTTTGTCACTGATGCTGGTGACCTCAGTGGGCTTTGGTGGGGTAACTCTGTCGGGATTGGGAAGAGGGTATGAAGGGTTCCGGGTCTCTTGGTTGGGCAAATTGGGTGTGGAGCCTCTGAGTTGATGACCGAGCGAGATGGGTTGTCTTGGGCCATCGGATTCACCGCTGCCACCCTTCTTCTTGAAGATTCTCTGGATCAGCTCACTTGCCGAGCCGAACTTCTTGGAGACAAACAAGTTGCGAGTGTTGGTTTCTTTTGTGGGGCATTCCATCGGGTCAGCCTTTATGGCATTTCTGATGTCGTTCACGGAGCCAAACCCCCGTTTGCTGTTGGTTGCTTGCTCCGGATGCAACAGTTGGAATCCGTAGTTTAGGTCTTTCATGCTACTGCTGGCTGCAGTAGAAGAGTTTGTCTGATTGGATGCAAAACCTGTCCAGGGTCTGTGCATGCCATGTGGGGCCCTACCACTTTTCTCGTTGATTATGATTTGTGAGGTAAACTTCCTGGACTTGCCCACTAGGCCTGGAAACTCCTGCTGGTGTTGTTCAGGGATGTGGAGATTTGATGCCGATGGGAACTTTGGAGTCTGCTGTTGGACTGGAGCAGAAAGTGGTCTGTATCGTTGCTGCGGCTGTTGATGAATAGATTTATCATTCTCCCTGGTGGTTTCTTGATTGTGCTGCTGACGGAGCTCAATTCTTCTCGGTGCTGGTCTGGTATGAGATTCTCTACCCGTCCTCAGGGCTGTATCCTGGTTAACGCTGTGACAACCTGTTGTGGGCTCTGATCTACAGCGCCTCATCCCTTGAGTAGGTCGATGGTGACCGCCATCTGAGTTGGGCCTGGTGAAACCTGCGACTGACATGCTCGAGGATCGTTTCACACCACCATTGCCCCAGTTTGAATGTGGGGAACGAGTTGTATGGAGGGCATGACCATTACTCTCTGAGGAACCACGCCCACTACCTGACTGCATGTGGGATACAGGGCCACTGGGAGGTATCCCTCTAACATCCCCAATCCATCTTCTTCCATCCATCAACTTCAGCCTCTTTGACATGTCATCTTCCTGGGACCATCCCGGAACCTTTCCATCCGAGATGCCTCCGGTTCCAAACTTCCGTTCTGGTGCACCTGCCAACTCGGGTGAGTAACCAAACAGGCCTGCTGAAGTCATGTTGAGCATCAGGTTCTCGACGGATTCAAAGGAGGCCAACCCCTGAATGGTCTGAGGAGGGGTGGGTGGAGACTCCGCCCCTGGATAAAGACCCCTGTCTCTGCGCTCAGCAGTTACTGTTAACAGTAGGGTGAGATGGCGGAGAGGGAGTTAGCAACAGGGTCAATTTTAGCATGACTGGGGAAAATTAAAAAGCTTAGGATAGAGGCAGTGGTAGATAATAAGTTTTTAATGGTAGATGATAAGAAATGATGGAAAAGAAAGTGGACACCATCTCAATTCTGAGGTAAAGTGGCTCATTAAAGCGAACACACCATGCAGTTAGATCGTAATATATAGGCAGGAATAAAAAAGACAAACAAAATATATGATCTACAATTTTGGGCGGGGAAGTTAAATTTAATTCTGCTACATGTGTTAAAAAAATCTACTCAAAGATGAGATATTATCATGTTCATCTGTAATCTGGTAATATCAACTCTTTAAATATACAGTAGGAAAGTAACAAGCCTTGTATCAAAGTAATACAGATCAAGGTAGAGGGTTTGCGGATACACCATGTGGTAAATATCTCTTTTGAGTATGTGCGGTTCTGAAAAGAACAGGTTACTGGACGTTTCGGACAGGGAGTGCTTTGTCCTTCTTCAGGACTGATGCAATCCAACTGCGCTGCTGCTGGGAATTGGGATCCAAGCTATCTGGGTAATGGGGCACGAAGGCGGGAACTGTTCTGAGACCGGCACCTCCATCAGCACTCCTTTCACCACCCCAAGATCAAGAACTCAGTCAACACCACCCTCGTACGCCGGGCATACAACGTGTGACCAGCGCAACCTGAACAACAAGCTCCACCACATCTCCACGGCACTCCAGCGGAACGGATTCAAGAAGAACCAAGTCAAGACCCAGCAACCTACATCACGCCCCGACCGATGGGTCTCCTCTACCCTAGGTCAACCCCACACACACAATAGTTCAGTCACCCTCCCATACATAGGTCCCACTTCCCACCAAATCCAGCGCATCCTCTAGAGACGGGGCACCAGAGTGTTCCACACGGCTCCCAGCAAGATCAGAAACCTCCTGCAATCACACAAGGACAAACAAGACCCCAAGTCTAGACCCGATGTCTACAAGATCCCCGGTGAATGCGGTCAAGTGTAGATCGGAGAGACAGGCAGGGATCTAACCACTAGACTCAACAAACACTGAGCACATGGATGACGGGAAGACTATGAGAAGTCATCCACTGTTAAACACTCAAATGAAACAGACCATGCTATCAATGGCATAGAGCCCATCTCAATGCCAGCATTGAACAATGGCACCCCCGAGGTATCCGCGAGGCCATTGAAATCTTCAAGAACAAGACGGTCCCCCAAGACATCGGCTAGAACATTAGTGACATTTGGCACCCCCTCCTGTCCAACGGGTCCCCTATACCAACAGACTCCCAACCTTCGGTGCCAGATGGGTCCCCTATACCCGGCACTCTCTCCAGCGCCCCAACACCAACTGACGTGTGCCAGAAAGCAGCCACAGCAGCTCACAGAACAGTTCCCGCCTTCACGCCCCAGTACCCTGATAGCTTGGATCCCAATTCCCACGCCTCACTGATCACCCACAGCATAAAAGCAGCAGCACAGTTGGATTGCATCAGTCCTGAAGACGGACAGAGCACTCACTGTCCGCAACGCCGAGTAACAGGTTCTTTTTAGAACCACACACACTCATAACCTTCAAGAGCTACTAAATACAGATTAACAATATCTTTCTCGGAATCATTCAAACAGTAAATATTTCAATGGAACATTGTCTTGCCTTTTGTTTAACATTAGTATGTACTGCCTAAAAATTGATGTTGGGGGTTTTAAACATAAATCTACACGTAGATGAGTGATCTGTGAACCCAATCTGTATCTCTGCAACCCCAACTACATGTACCAAACAAAGTTTACAACCCAATTTATCTTTGCATTATTGTGCAATCCATGACAAGTAATTGAGATTGAGATTGACATGACAAGTAAAGAGATTTGGAGCTATTTATTGAAAAGATATGTTCGCAGGTGCATGCTGCCTTCAGTATAGCTACTCACCAAATGACTCAATGACAATGTCATAGAGGTGATGTGTCAGCAGGGGCTGGGTTAGACCCAGGAAGTAGGAGCTGACCGTCTTGAATACGTCTCTCTCAAAGCCCGGGTAGTTTGGGAGTCCAGAATCAGGACCATTGGGCCCTACGATTGGAGAGGATGCAAGCAGAGGTGACTATGGGGTTTGGAAAGACTTCAAGAAATAAAACATCAAGGAACGGGCGTAAAGTCTGTGTGATCATTGCGAGATTTTAGCCAGACAGTCTAACGTTTCAAGTGCTAACTTCACTCTGGTCCTGACTCTAACAAGATCCACATGTGAAGGCATCTCAAGTTTTCCAAGTAAATGAAGCCAAAGTGTCAAGTCTTTTCACTCAGGTTCATAAGCGATCATTTGACAATTCTTGAGCTTGAAATGAAGCTAAACAGAGAGGAAACCATCATTTTGAAAAAAATGGCCTTCAGTAGATCTACTGGATGTTACTGTCTTTCAGGCTGCGGCTTGACATTACTCATGAGCCCATGATAATGGCTGCAGCCATTACCCATAGGGTTGTTTGTAATTTTTAAGCCTCAGCCAAGTAATTCGGACACGGCCTGATTGTACTGTTCAAGCTGGTCCATTTGTGGCATCACAACTTCCTGTGGTTGATTCTGTGGGAATTCTACGGGGATTTTCGACAAACTCTGAGGAACAAGGGAGCTTACAGTTGGCCAGGCACTTCATCGCCGACAGCACCCAGCTGGGCAGGTCATCCTGGTCCTTGGGCACCAACACCACACCGTTCTTGCTGACGTGGGTGCAGCTGTGGATGATGTGCTTGGGGTTGATCAGGCTGGTATCCAGGAGGCCCTCCAAGGAAGTCAGCCACAGCAGCCTCTGTAACCTGCAGGTGGGCGAATTTGACCATGGCTGAGGAAAATCTCTTCTACTTTGATTTGTTCCACAATGTAGGCCAAGTTTTGCATCTTTTGAGTGAAGCATGCATTATGCCTGCATTGTCTAACAGTGCACAATAAGTTAACCGTAGGTTAGGTGAAACAAAATATTCGACAAGATGAAGCATTTAATAAAACCCTTTGGCTAAATTCAGCAGACTGTCCGTCATTCAGACCCAAACAAAGAAATGTACCTACATGTATCTGGCACATCTCAACCAAAAACCAAAAGTTCAATGCTGTGAAGTAACTTTTTTCCAGTAGTAATATGGAAAACTCAGCATGTTCCCCTGTGAGCACACATCGTTTTTTAATTGGGAACCCATGTTCCTCGGCCCAAGAACAGGTGATCACTTATGAGAAACATTTACATGTGTATACATGTACACTTGGTACCTCAGGAGCAGTCTGTTTGACCAAACAACATGACATGGACATTGATCCTAACAGTAATTTGGTGTGCTCTGAATGGAAACACTATCAAAAGGCTCGTGGCTAAGCAGTTAAGACCACTTCCCCATAAGATCTTTGGTCCTTACCGATTGAGAGTGGTACTTTTCCAGACGTCTTCCCTCTGTGATGTTGTCAGCGGTCTCTGGACTAGACGGCACTGTGGCACTCCCCCGTCAGCCCTGTCCCCCTTCCCCTGCCGGGCAGACTCCTTGTCTGAGTCCTGGATGCTGAATGCCGGGTTGTCGTAGGACAGTGTCCTGCCCACAACAGGCTGTGAGCTGATGGTCTTCAGTGGGGTCCTCGTCCGGAGGTTGGAACGGCTGTTGAGTGCAGATCGGAGCTTTTTGATTGGAGAGACAGGCACAAATCTGTTGAATGAAGTTCAAATAAGAAGGGAAAAAGCATGTAATGTTAATGTTTGACAGCACCGAAATACGAGTACCATAGATGTGTAGATTAATCCAAGGGAATGCCATAACTATGGTGGTACCACCTGAAGCTTGACACACGTGTATATTTGGCCGGTACAGTCCCCTCCTGGTCAGAGATGCATGTACATGTAATGTGCACATACAGTACATGTACATACATGTACGTACAACAGTGCACCTGTCCACAAGCACTGTGCCATCACAATTGTCGGGCATGCAACTTGGACTTTGACCAAAAAAATGGAGGAAATTCCAATCCAATTTTTACAAGACTTTGTACATGTAGTGTTTCTCCATTTTCAATGGCATGAGTGGTGAAGTGAAAAACGAGGAAATCAGCTGATCCAATGCCTGAACAATGGCGTCTAATTCTGGTTGCCAAATTACACTACAACCAGGCTCAATTTCAAATTGCATGCTCCCTGTGTTGAGTAACATTGGCGTAAATTAAACAGAAATTTACAATCTGATGCAACTATTTTGAAGCAAAAGGTCAGATTTCAGTACCCATTTTGACACAGAATAAGGTTTACCCTTTTGCTCAGTAAAATCCGTTCTGGGTGAATCATGCTTATTTGGACTGGGTTAATACCTATTTTTTTTCTTTCAAATGGGTGACAAGATGACAGTTCAAGGCAGATATTGATGTTCTTCATATTACATATATATTTTTTCCTATTAAGTACAACACATGTGAATTGCCTAAGAGAAGTCTGGCACAGTGTGACACAATCCAACAGGATGAATATCCCAAGACTCAGAGTTCCAGCCTGGCAGTCACTGCAGGATCCAATAGCAGCATTGCTTAATGAGATTGTGGATTTACCGGTACATGTATACTGTAGGTTTTCAGTACCAAGTAATTTGGGGGGTTTTGCTCCTGAAGAATGTTCCTCTGCCCAGAGTTTTCCTCCCACTTCTAAGACTAGTTCCGCTCCTTGTTTCCTCTCGACAGGCTCTCTGCAGCTTCTTCAGGCTTGCGAGCTACATGTACGAGTACAGGTGCATTGTACAAGGAATCCTTTTTTGTTGTTTGAAATGCTCAACAATAAATGCCCAGGGCTACAAAGGTCACCAGGACCTGTCCACTTGCTGCACCTCGTTGCAATCAGAATGGTTAATCGGTTATTGTACATGTACACCTACATGTATGTACATGCCAGCACTCACTTGTACAGGTCACCGTTGTCCTCAAACTTGCCCGGGCTGCCCTTAGCCGACCCCTTGACCCCCTGTATGACCTTACTGTGAAGAAACTTCTCGAGCAGCGAGATGGTCTGTGCCCTGCTAACCCAGGGACCAAATCTGTCGCAATTCTGCAGGTACTCGTGCAGCCAGTCTATGGCCTCAGTGGACGTGAAGCAGTTGTCATGGTAACGTCCGCGCAGTCCTCGGCGATGACGCTTGAGGGGCATTCCCGAACGAAACTCCTGAATGATCATATTCCACTATTGGTAAAAAACAGAGAAGGAAATAAATGTACATTTCACACTGATGCCGGCACATGTTTATTCAAACTTTAACCATTTTTAACACAGTTTTAACACTAAATTCTGAATAATAGCTTGGTGAGCCCACCTCTGATAATAAACGTTACAATTTTTTTACATTTTGAGAAGTCAATAATCGATGTACACTGTACATGGGCAATGTCGACAAGTTACACATTTTTCCTTTTCCTAAAGAGTGTTGAATCAGTAGCACAATGAAAACAAAAATACAAGATTCCAATCCCCCCAACTCTGAAAATGGTCCAGCTGATACACAGAGGTTGATAGCAGTGTGAAGATCTGATATTTTTGAAATTAATAAATCATGAATTCCATATACAGACCCCACAAATTGTTCCCAGCAGTGACCTACATGTATTGGTCATCTGAAAGCAATAAAATGTATTAAAAAGTCCAACTGAAAAGTGGAAACATTGAGGTATTCCCTTAACACACTCAGAATTTTTCAGATCAGTTTCATGGGATTTGTGCTCAGGGTATCAAGCGGCATATTCGTACATGTACGGTACATGGAGTTTATTCCTCTATAAACTATGTGTAGGCATCATACAAAAACCCACAGCGTCACGACCTCATGAACAGTAACAGTCCTGACAGTCACTCAGTGTTTGAAGGCATGTACATGTACAGGTGCTGGACACAGGGTGCTTACATGTACACGTACGTACAGGAAAAAATGAGCGAAGGCACTATTCATTTGGGATCTCATTTTCTTAACAGGCAATTGTGACCGCTGGTGATTAAAATGAGTCTTTTTCCACATGCTGTAGTGATGGCAGTGCCTCTATTTAATTGCACTTACCAAAGTTTTGAAATTTATAGTCTGATAGTGAAGCCAGCATTTAAGTCACTGAAACACATATAACAGATTCTCATGAGAACAAAATGTTTAAGCTTTTCAGTAAAATCCACTGTCATTCTTGTGTACAGAATATTTTGCTTTGCACAAACAAGGTACAAGTACATTGTACCTGTACCTGGCTTTGACTATATGAGGTTGATCATGCAGGGTGACGGAATATTCTGCAGTCGACCTCTCTAGACTCCATTTAATTTCCGATTTCAAAATTTTTGAAATTTCAAGCGAAGCCAGTATTCAATTCACTGAAATACATGTAAGGCATGAATAATGGAAATGTGAACTTTCAGCTCTTAGTCAAAATCCACACTCATTTCTGTGTACAAAAAAATTAATAAACCAGGGGTGTGAGTGGTCACTTAAAATTAAAGCTTAAAACAGCTAGCAAAAAGCTGAAATGTAAAAAGTTCCCATTGGCCTACTGACAATTTTGTACAGACCAGGTGAACAAAAAAGCTGAAATTCCGGGTCAACATCTACACAAATATGACAAAAAAGCTGAAATTAGATAAAAAGCTGAATTCCACACCCCTGAAAATTATCTCAAAATATCTCAAAATATCCCTGCTTTACATCAATATTTCTTTGCTTTGCAGCATCCGACGGAATCCAAACTTAGCAAAATGTTTCTTTATCTTGACATCCTTTCCCAGATCACTTCAAAAAGAAACAGAACTCAATAGAAGAGATAAACATAATCACCGCGGTGGATGACAAATACGGGAATAAGATAATCGATGACTCGCGGTGTCGTGTTGCTGGTAGCGACGTTTCGGCTGCTGGTGCTGCTAGCCTTTATCAGTTGCCTGATGAAGGCTAGCAGCACCAGCAGCCGAAATGTCACTACCAGCAACACGACACCGCGAGTCATCGATTATCTTTTTCCTGTATAAGAAACAGAACTGATAGAAAAAAAAAAATGGAAAAATTTATAAGCCTCTCTATCAAACATGCCAAATAGGCCTACCTATGCATGCTATAGCGCTAGGGCCTAGGCCTACATAATTATTAGGCCCTATGTATGTGCCTGTTGCAGAATGTAGCAAGCAAAAAGAACTTGGGTCATGGACGACCGACGGCACCAGTCCCCAAGTTGGTGTGAAAAACTGTGAAGTTTGATGTTTCCTGATGAAGGCTTTGCCGACTATATCATGATTCAGATTCAGACCAGTCCAGAAAAACTCCGTTCACATATCGCAACTGGTTAACAATAACACTACTGCCACCTGGCCACATGTTGTGGCCACAGCTAGATTGTCATGTTTGTCGGAGCATAGAAAAAGAAGCCTTTTTACAACTTTGTATCTTGTTATATCTCACCAATTTTGTTGCCTTGAACGGCTCGCCACACAGACGAGGCTGTTCCATGCTGTGTAAACATGGACAGAAGACCGAATCAATAATGCAGCCAAGTACTGAAGTAGTTGAAGTAGGCCTAGTGCATGAACGTCAGCCTACATTTGCGAAGCAAAATCCCAACAGAGAGCAGCCATCTTGATTAACATTCAAAATTAAAAACGCCGCTTGGGAAAGCACCTTTCTGATTGGCTGAAGCTTCTTGCCGAAAGCCGAAGGAAACTGATTGGCTTATTTCCACTTCACCTCTTGAGGGCGCCGTTCTTGATTACGCACAGGGCAAGGGCGTGCGTTGAAAGTAAAAAGCCAAAATGTCTGCTTTTTCTAGTAAAACTTCGATGGAAGGTCCACTAAGTAAGTGGACAAATGTCATGAAAGGATGGCAATATCGATGGTTCGTTTTAGATTACCAGACAGGGCTTCTGTCCTACTATGTGGTAAGTTAAAAACAGGTGAAGAGTCGGAATTGACGACCGATTTTCCGACAGTTATAACTTGCCCTGGTCTCAGCCAGCGTGCCATCGCTAAGTGCTGCTGGTAGTATTAACATGATTAAAGCCAGGGCCTACCCCCAAAAACTGTGGGGTCCGACGTCCTCCCCGCTACCACGAACCTCACAGAAAATAAGCTTTTTTCGCCATAGGCTCTACGTGACGTTTAACAGGGCTCGAACAGAGATTTTATCGTAGTTGTGTACCGATAGAAATGTTGCTCCATTTCCCATGTTTCCCCCAAGAGTAGGCGTTTGGTAGGTGTAGCTTACGGTGTCAGGTCAACTCGCCCCCTGACCGACTCGCCCCTTTCCAACTCACCCCCTCGTAAACTCGCCCCCTGACCGACTCTCCTCTTACCAACTCGCCTCCTGGCCGACTCGCCCCCCTGACTGACTCGCCCCCTGACCAACTTGCCCCCTAGGAACGTCAAGCAAATA